CTCGCTTCATTTCCAGCGCACAATGGCCTGCAAAATCTCCGGATACCAATCCGTTGGACTATTGTGTCTGGAGTATTTTGGAAAGCAAGGTTGGCACCAAGAAATACCAAAGTGTCGATCACCTCAAGCCAGTGCTTCGCCGAGAATGGGTCAAAATACCGTAAAGCAACATTCGGGCAGCGTGTGACGGTTTCATTGGCCGTTTGAAGGCTATAATTCTAAAACTAAGGCTAAGGCTATAACTCTAAAACTTATTCTAAAATTTGATGCTATTTCCGCAATTTTTAAAATTTGAAAAAAAAATTAAAAATTATGGTGTTTGACTTTGTTGCAGTTTTTTATCTCACCCTGTATAATAAATTTTTTTTATGTTTTCAAATACTACACCTATCGGAGGTTACTATGATATGAATTTATAAACAATTTTAACGAATTTGAATAATTTTTCATTCAACATTTTCAATTTGAAAATTTCTTCGACAGCTGGATATGCCAAATCGAGTGAAACGTGAAAAATGTAAACACCCTGTCGTTTGTATATTCATATTTATCGAGGTCCACCTGTACCTCCAGAGTAAATCTTATATTTTTTTATATAAGATTAAATAATGGCAAGTTCACGTCATCTTGACATTTACTAGCATTTATTTTTCATGGTGTTTTTTTTGTTTTCGTATTTGCTGTTGGGTATTTTTTTTGTAATCCTATATGTCTGGCTGGTGCTGCTGTTGCCGGTGAAACCATTAAACAAACCATTTGTTTGCTGATTTTATGAATGCCATATTAAATAACCACGATTTGTGCCAGCATACCGGAAAATTTACTTTTGTAATACTTTCTAATGTTGATCTGCGGGATCAGTATGGATATGGACGATCTATCTAGATTCTACAATGAGATGAATAAAAAAAAAAAACAATGAACATCTAAATGACACCTTGTCTCTATATGGTAAAATAATTAATTGTTTCTCAATTGGATATCGAATGTTATGTCATTTTTTTTAATTAAATCAACAATTTTCTAATTAATTTATATGATTCTAAATGGATTTTCTTTTAGTTGGAATTAGGAGAGTGTATGATATGTCCAGGTATGCAAGCAAGAATTGTCATGAGAAAATACGAACTTTTCTCTCTCTCTCAAAGAAAATATCAAATTGTTACGGTATGTTTTTTCTTTGAGAGAGAAATATTCGTTATTATTCTCAGCAACTTGTTACTGAGTTAATGTTACTGAAAAAATTAAAAAGCTTGCCTAATATAAATTAAGGATATTTTAACTTATAGGGAAAATAGGGCTCGCTGTGATCGAAAAAGTACACATATACTTTACTCGTGTATTTCACAACTGAACACATTTGAGTTCAGATACTTTAATATAAATTTTTTTCTTTACCTAATGGTAAAGGATAATAAAAGTTCGGCCTGGCCGAACTTAATGTTATTTTACTTATTATAATATGCGTTTTTCAACAATTTTTACAACTTAGAATAATTTTGTCAATGCGTGTCAACGGGAGAAATATTCCACAACCAATTTCATTAAAGTATTTAAAATAATAAAATAAAAGATACCAATAAAATATCTGTCACAAAGTTACCTGTCTAAAAAATTTGTTCTCCATTACAAATATCGTTTACCGAAAACTATTTCTCTTTCAATTTGTAATTTTGAGTTCTCACAGAAGCATTTGTAATTAATGGAAACCCACTTTAATTGCATTGTCGCAAACAAAAAACCTATTAACTTTTTATTACGTTTTTATTGCAAATAGCAGAACAATGTGTTTGCAAGTGAATTACATCAATCGGAATAATAAAATACGAACGGATGTGTTTTGTTCTAATTAAATTTTTAGCACAATCTTTTAATTTATCGCAAATAAAGATGATCTGTAGTTGGGTTATTGAGGCCAGTTAAATATTTCACCTCTGTGCAATGTTTGTTATTAGTTGAGTGGAAATAATTTTCGTTTTTTATTTGATGTTATTATATTTTAATGTTATTATATTTTAATGTTATTATCTTTTGCTGTTTTGGAATTAAAGGTGAGAGTACATAAAAGGCATTTTTGGACTTTCTTCTTCATAGAGAAATAGAGGAGTTTTAGGTTGACTTTGTTCGTTTTTGGTCCTTCGCTCCTCCGTTTTTTTGGGAGAAGCCAGTCGATGACTTAAGCCAGTCAAAAAAAAAAGTTTTATGTATTCTCACTTTAAAAACTAGAAATCTCTTCTACGAAGTTCAACATAAAAAATAGCATGTCTTTTGGGGTGACACAAATTTGGGATATTAGGATAAATTATGAAAGATCATAACAAGAGGGTGTGTCAATAGACAACAAATGACAACAAAAATTATAAACCATATGTAAAGGCTCTATTAGACGATATGTTTTTATATATGTAGTGTCAAATTTTACATATGTAGAACATGGCCACATCGTGTGTTACATAGACGAAATTTCAATTGGGAAATATGTAAGTACATATGTCTTTTTTCGACTACAGCGATCCCTAAATTAATCAGAAATCTTGTTTGTTTGTTGTATAAAAATATATACAATTAAATTTGCTGTGAAAATTCATACAAAAAATATTAAAATTTATTATAAAAAGAACAATGCTGGCTTGTTTGTCCGGGATACCATAGTCTTCTGTTGTTGCAAAATGATCAGGATTAATGCCTTTATTGTAATGTTTACCAGGACTATAATCAAAGAAAATAAAAATAAATTATGCGAGTGTTGACACGGAAAGTCAGAGCACATGTATATAACTCATTCCGTATGATAGCGCTTTAAGACAGTTTAACTTCAAAGGAATTAGGAAAAATTAAACTCTGTATTAGAGTTTTAAGACTCTATCAGACGATATGTTTTTTACATATGTATTGTCAAATTTTCGATATGTAGACATGTCAGTTGTAAAATACAATAGTAAAGTACTTATGTACTTTTTCGATCACAGCGAGTCCTATTTCATTAGGAAAATATAAATTAATCAAAGGTCTTGTTTGTTTGTCGTGTAAAAATTTAAAATTAATTTGCGGTAAAGTTCATTGTATAAAATATTAAAATTTGTTAGAAAATATAATATAATAAAAATATGGTCAAAAATAAAAAAAGTGTGTAATAGTGTGTAAAAGTGGCAGCACATATAAAAACCATTCCGTCTGATAGTGCCTGAAGGTAGTTTAACTTCAAAGGAAGTAAAACCCATTCCGTCTGATAGTACTTTAATGTAGTTCAACTTCAAAGGAAGTAGGAAACAAGTAAAAAAATATTAAGTTTGGCCGGTCCGAACTTTTAATACCCTCCACCTTAGGGTAAAGGAAACATTAGAACCTATTGTGACCCACAAATACCAATTTTTAGACATATTCGTGGGAAAATGTCGCATAAATCATCGAATGTCGGGAGGTATCGCTCTATGGGGCTATACAAAAACGTGAACCTATACTAACAATGTTTCGGCAACGGAGCTAGAATCCATTTGAACACAATACCGAAAATACTAAAGCCATAAAAATACCGAATATCAGGAGGCACCGTTATATGGGGAATATACCAAAACGTGGTCGGATATATCTCATTTTCAATACCAATCATCCTAGACACAATACAAATTGTTCTGCCAAATGTTGACGCTCTACGTCAAATAATGTGGGATGTATCGTGATTTCAACAGACAGACAGACGGACATCGTTAAATCGACTTAGTATTTTATGCTAATTATGAATATATATACTTTATGGGGTCTACGACGATTATTTGGGGATGTTACAAACGGAATGACCTATATACCCTCTGTTCCAGGGTGGAGGGTATAAAAATCAACTCTGTATTAGAGTCTTATTGGGTTAAATTGGCTTTTAAAGTATGCGAAACTTGGTTTTTTTTAAATTTTTGGAATTGGGAGAATCACAGAACATAAGTGAAATATTCGGGGTTATTCCATATTGTTTTATCCCAAAAATCTAAATTTTTATCCTATTTATATGAAAGCATGAAATATTTTTACGACCACATTCATAGCATTACATACATGTGTAAACTTTGTATACGTTTTGACAGAACAGGAAGAAAAATAGTGACTTTATTCTGCCTCCTGTTTTTATTACATGGATATATCGAAAAATAGTTAGGCAACATTTTTTCAATTTTTCGCTGTTTTAGGTTAAAACTCGATAAAATTTTCATTTTAGTTGGTTTGTGTTAGTGGATGATATATTCTACATAAAATTTCACTATATGTCACAAACGAAACAAATCTCTAGGTATGAATGACATTAAGGCCCTTTTCTGGTATTTTTATGATCTAATTTCATGCCTAGACTAGTAATCGTATGTCCTAAACCTATCTGTTGCACAATTGATTGAATTGCTGTTGACAAATACAGTTGCATATTATACTGACATAATTTGCATGAGTGTATTACAATGTTGTAGACAAAAAAAACAGGCCGCTAAAATAGTCGACCAAAAACTACATTGGCTTAGAAAAACCACCCGGCTTAGAAAACTAATTTTTTGCAAGCATACCAACAACAATGCAATGCAATGGGAAATCAAATCAAAGAACAATAACAAAATAGTAACAACAACAATAACAACATGACATAACAATGACATTTAAATGATTTCGAGCCGGAGAATGAAATAAGGCACAGAGAAAAAACAGATTTATTGGGAAGACAAAAAATCGACGAATTGTTTTTAAATTTGTCGCATTTTGTTGTTGCTATTGTTTTTTACACACAAAAAAAAAAACACAACAACAACAAAGCCAAAATTAAAAAAAAATACTACAAAAACAATAACAAACTTGCTATTGGCCAATACACAACAGAAAAACGTCGTTCCGATGTGAGCTAGCTTGCGAGCGACGACTCTCGCTCGGTCGAGAGTGTCCAAAGCAAAGCTTTAAGCCAAAATTTTTTCAATACCAGTTAGTCGAAAATCAACTATCGTGGCGCGAAGATGTTCAGTTTGTAATTAAATGAAACGAAACGCGCGATTTGGAAAGCATTTAAAATATATTTAAATAAAAATTAATTATTAATAAGGAAAAAAAAAATACTCGCACATTAAAAAAAAAATAAGAATCCAATAAAAAAATAAGAAAATTTATTACCAAAACAAAATAGAAATTTTCAAAAGAGCTCCCCACAAAGTCAAATTTGAATACATGTTGTAATAAAAGAAACCAAGTAAAATTTTTAATACCACAAAAAAATCAAATAAATAAATAACACACACAAAAATATTGGTAAAATCTAATGAGTTGCCATCAAATGTTTTAATGGAATTTTTTGAAATTGAAAAAAAAACAAACTCAACCAAAAAAAAAAAATCCCATGTTTTGCAATAATGAAATAACCAACAACAACAACAACATACCCTTTAAATTCCAGTAATTGTTGCAGCATTATTTTGTCTATTTCAATTTGTGTACTCACATGTCTTTTGTTATTGTTGTTGTATTTGTTACCACCAGCCATCCACCGAAAAATGAAAAAATACCAAAGCATCGACGAAAACAAAAAAAAAACAGCAACTAAAGCTACCAAACAAGTCCCAAAAATTGTGTTGTTTGTATAACTAATCAGTGATTTAGAAACAAAAAACCAAAACGGAAAACCATTAAAAATAAAAACTAATGAAAATTAAATTTAATGCGAGGAAGTAGATTTCCATTAAGACAACTCCTGAAATGATCCATTTTTGACCAAAAAAAATTATAAAGATTACTCCATCCTTAATATATGGGTTTCCAAAATTGCTTCCTAATATTTGGCGATTTTAAAATAAAGCTACAAATATTATTTAGTTGTCGATCACAAGCAGCTATCAAACGATAAGGGTTTTACATATGTAGTGTCAAATTTTCCATATTTAGAAGTTGCCAACATCGTGTGGCAACTCGACATTTATATAACAGCGAGCCATATGAAAGTGTGTGATAGTAAAAATTATGTGTCATATGTAAAATGGCATTCTTAACATACACACGGAAATAAACATGGATAATAAAATATACACCACATATGTAAGATCCCTATCGTCTGATAACAGCTTTAAGGTGAGAATACATAAAACGATTTTTTGACTGGCTTAAGTCATCGGCTGGCTTCTTCGGAAAATAATAAAGGAGCGTAGGGTCAAATTCGAACTAAGTCAACCTAAAACTTCCTTGTTCCTCTACAAAGAAGCCAGTCGAACACTTAAGCCAGTCAAAATGTGTTGTATGTATTCTCATCTTTAGTGCAATTTGGTGTTGGATATATTTTTTCTTTGATGCTCGCTCCCTTAAATCAACTTTTTGACAACAATTAACGCGAAGCAAAATATAGCCTAAATTTTTTCGATTTAGATCGATGAACCATTGTTAAATTGCATTCAGAATACTTTTTCCATCGACACCAATAAAACTTGTGGAAATTACCAAAAATATTGCGATGCAATTTAGCATTTTTTACTATTTTTTGAAATATTCCATTGACTCGTAGTATATATATATATATCATACAATTTTCCATTGGAACCAACTCACTTAAAAACGGCTTGAGCTAGATATAAATTAATATCGGAAATAAAGCAAAAATTTTGGCGTAAAAATGGCACAAGATTGCATAGAAGGATTCTTCTGGTATAAGTCAACGGTTGGCTTTTTCGTAAAAGAACAAGGGAAAAAGGATGACCTAGATTAAACAATGCGCTGATGTTGAACCTTAAATTTGGGCGTAAAAATGGCAAAACATTATTGCCAACCATATATTTGTTTCAATTTTCAGGCCATTTATAGCCTCCATCAAGAAAGTCGCATCTTTAGAATTAAGAAGGTACAGTCATGCAATCATATGTTTACAATTTTATCAAAATAATTGATTTGACATTCCGTCCAGACTTTTTCTCTCTTTACTTTTTTTTTGCTATCATAAACAAAAAATAAAATTCAGAGAGAGAAAAACTAATAATAATAATAATAATAATAATATAAAAAGCTACATTGTACAAGTAACACTTCCATATTGCTCCGCATCCTATCCAAAATACCAATTCGCGTTGCCATCTACACTTATTATTTTTTCCCATGTTAGAAGATTACAGGTAGTCTCATCGACACAGCTGTTGGGACAATGAACTGTCAAACAGATTTTGGAATTGAAAATGTTAAATGTAAAATTATTAAAATTTGTAAAAATTGTTGAAAAACGAATATCATAACAACATCCATTGCGTCGTATAAGAGAACATAAAAAATCTTCTTACTTTTGACAAAACATTTTAACATTTTTTACATATCAATGTTCCCAAGTAGAAGAATACATGTAGATGCATCAAACATGTATTCTTCTACCAAAAATTTTCCTTAATAAGGCATTTGACAAGGTACATTATAGAAAATACAGAGATGGATATGCTTATTTGAAATGACAGCTATATTAATACTATCAATGGTTATAAGAAGCATTTATTGCAGAGCGGACATAGAGGAATTAATTCAACTTTGCCATTGATTGTTTTCCAAATGTGCTGTAGACACCGAATCCCTAAATCAATGGTTAAGAAACCCAACAAATTCTTCCGTACTAATTAATAGCTACCTAGTAATATATGTCGGTCGGTGATCTGTGGTGAAATTTAAATTAGAATATTGTTTCCATCGGCGCTGGCACTCAAAAATCCAGTTTTGGAAGACATTTTAACCAGTGAGCGTTTTAGACCCAACAATACTAAAAGAAACAACTAAAATGCTGAATCATTTCCCCGTGCGTAAATATGAATAAATTTCCTATTCTCAAGACTTAATAAACGCACCTGCTACCGGCTTAAGATAAACTAGTATTTTGCTCAAGCAATTTTGCATATAAATATAATAGTTGTTTTTTTTATTTTTGATGTGGGAATGCAAAAATTTCCACCTTATCTTTTCAAAGATTTGCCAAGTCGTACTATATATTTTATGTTCTTCTACTAGCTTGAAAAATATTAATTCATGATTTATTCATAATTTTGCAAAATACATAAAAATTTGTCATATATTTCGATTTTAAAATGGAAAACAGCGAAGAGAGCCAAGAGACAGAGAGAGGTGTTTACAGCATACTTGTTTCAAACAACATAATTCCAATGGTCAATATATGTCAAATAAATTACGCTATTTTATGAAACGTAGTCTTAGTAAACAGTGTGTATAACGTTGAAAATGGTATGTTCCACAACTGCAAGAATGTAAATGTTTTACTACGATAACCGATTTTGCCGTTATGATATTGAAAAAAATGCAAAACTAGTAGATTCTCTCAGGTACTGGAACAAAGCAAAAGTGTAATAGCAATTTTTTTATTTACATACTTTACATACATAAAACTATTGTAAACCGTCACAGTGAATGCATCTAGTGTTAAAGTAGCATTAGTTCATTAAGGGTTGTATTTCCTATCAAATTCTCCAAAAGTCTAAAGGTGGGAACACATAAAGCGCTTATCTGGCTGGTTTAAGTCATCGATTGGCTTCTTCGGAAATGAACAAAGGAGCCTAAGTCAACCTAAAAATCCTTTGTTCATCTACGAAGAAGTCAGCCGATGACTTAAGCCAGTCAAATATGCGGTTTATGTATTTCCACCCTAAGACAGATAAAAGCTTAAATCGTGACTTCGGCACATTGCAGAAGAATACAGGTAGACGCATCAACGCTTGGGAACATTGATATGTCAAAATTTGTTAAATGATTTTCAATTAAATGAGTAACTTTTTTATAAGTTTTCTTATACGACACCAATAGAAGATTGTTATGGTATGTATTTTTCAACAATTTTTACAAATTTCAATATTTTTCAGTCAAAATTTTCAAGTCCAAAATTGGTTTAACAGTTCATTGTCCCAACAGCTGTGTTAATGCGTCTAACTGTATTCTTCTACCATACTTCGGCGTGAAAATACAACATTGTTATCACTTGTAGCTGACAAAAGTTTTTTATTTTCACATTTCGTACAGCAAAAAATGTAAACAGTGTTATATTTTCACATATTTGAACCAATGAGTTTACACAGGACAATGCAATTGGTTTCACGTATTAATATCAGATATTATTATGTTGACATTATAAAAGCTTTAATATTTATACAGAGCTACAACCATGGTAGAAGAATATAGGGAACGCTTAGGAACATTTATATGTCAAATTTTTTAAAGCGTTTTCCCAAAATTAAGTAGATCTTTATATGTTTTCTTATACGACGCAAATCGGTAATGATATGTATTTTTCAAAAATTTTTACAAATTTTAATAATTTTTCATTCAAGATTTTCAATTGCAAAATCGGTTTGACAATTCATTGTCCCAGCAGCTATGTCGATGCGACTACCTGTACTCTTCTACTATGGCTATAACCATAATTAAAATTGCTTTACACCGACAGCCAAATTTACAAAAATCCGTCATTAATTTGGCGTATAATAAAAAAAGTGATTGACAATCTAAATAACGTTCTTTATGAAAGCATGTCCGGTTTAAAGAAGGCTTTACATCTGTTACGCACGTTACGAAATACGTTTTTTATCGTAGTCAGTGTAAATAAACCCTTATTTTTGAAATCAATCCATGGCAGAAGAATACAGGTAGATGCATCAATGCTTGGGAGCATTGATATGTCAAAAAATTTAAATGTTTTTTCAAATATAAATAGGTTTTTATATGTTTTCTTATACTACGTCATTCGGAAATCAATCCTAGGGAATAACTATGCTCGAAATTGATAGGAATGCTCAAAATCGAATGGAAAATGGCCCATCTGTGACAGGATTCTTGCATTGAAAACTATTTCTTTTGACAGTTTCTTCCATTTTAAATTCTCTCTCAACATTGTTTGCATTTTTTCCTCCGAAAAAAAAAAAACGGAAATCCCTAAAATTTTATTGTGTATCAAGCGTCTTAGCTATTTCGCAGAGTAATTTATGAATATACCTTGGAAACTCTTGTCGTTTTGTATGTAATCATAAGTAAACATAAATCTGCTGATTGTCATTTATATCCTGTCTAAGGTGTATCTAAATGACGCGAATTTATTCATTTCAGAAAAGGTTATAAATAGTATGACTGAGCTATTAGGGTGAAGAAAAATCACCATATTTTAAATCTAAAATTAAAGCATTTAATTATTTCTTTTTTACTTCTAAACTTGCAGCAAAACACAACTAATACAAGCCGCAAACGGCAAACACTCAATCATTGCTGTTAACACTTTGGGATTACACTTTAAGTGA